TTGGTCAAATTCTTTTATACATATTTGGGGTTTCAGATTATAATTAGTTTCACATGGCCTATAAATTCCGATAAATTTACGAACTTTTTCATTGTTTTCCCGCTTCCATTCACAACTATAACCATAAATCTTAGTTTATGTCAAAGCCTTTAAAATAAAGTATTTCTTAAATGCATTTACCAAAAGCGTGAGTTCTTGAATATGTTTTCATAAAGATAGCCATCTGTGCCATAGTTCCAAAGTATGCAAAAGAAGAAAACTCATTGTCGAGATAAATAAAGGCCCACAGTGAAACTCTCGCATTCTTAGGCTTAAGATCAATCAAAAACTTTCTGCAATAGTTTGCCTCTTTAAAAAGCCCTTTAATTAGATAGTCAGCTGACGACTATATGCGCATGTTACCTTTTACCGATGTAAGGTTAAAATGAAAAAGGAGAATTTTGATCAGGTTTTTAATTTACCTGAAAAAATGATTAAAATTTGGCTGGCAATGAAAGAACTCATATTTTCTTTACATTGGAGTCTTTTTCACTATATTTTATTACTTATAGGCTCCGTTCAAAGACTGCGAATTCAAAAATTCCGCCGAAATATATATTACGATTTAACCTAAATTCTCAATCACCTGTAATTATAAAGGTTACAGTAAGTTCTTTCATTTCTTAGCTAAATATTTACCATTAATTTTCAAAAGAATCAAAGAAACCACGAAAGGTCTGCATTTTTACTCTTACATAACACTGAGAGTAAGGTAACTTAAGTGGATATCTATTCAAAGCGCTCTTTAAGAGGTAAGTTTTCAGTAAAATTGAAATTTTTTTAAAATAAGCTCATGCATATTAATACAGAAGTCCTGCTGTGCACATACATAGCTCTTGGCAATAGCTTTTCATGTTTTGAGGGGTCTACAAGTATGCCCCAAGCGGTCGTTTTCATACGAATTAATAGCCAAAAAGTCACTTTATCGAGAGACGTTTTTAAAAATAAACATATGCAGTAGGGTCTAACTTTACAAAAAAAGCAATTTTCATCGAATTTAAAGGGTGACCTGAAACGATAT